ACCTATGATTAGGCCTTTTTCACGCCCCACTTTCGTCCTTCCTTCTATTCATTCTGTTCTACCTCACATCAGACGATGACAAGCAGCCCCCTCCATGCCAGCTTTTGACACCAGATCCTTCCTCACACAAAAACTTCGATCTCACAAGCGAAGCTCCCTTTACATGCCCCCGCCCCCTTCCTCACCGCCTGTGACCTGATCTTCCTCCTGACAGGCCAACCCTGCTCGGTGCCCTGACCCAGAACTCTTCTACCTTTTCCGAGAGGCTGCCAGCACTAGTGGCCCTACCCACCTCCACATTCCATTCACTCTCCCATCTTTCCCAACTAAAAGCTCGTCTCGATTCCTTCTCATTAACCCCCTCGTACTACAACAAGGAGTTCACTCGTCTCACTCCTTTGACCTCACTCGTCATGGCATACCATTTCCACTACTGCTGTCCTCCCCGGTGAGGGAAAATGAGCCCATCCAGGGGATGAGGCCCATTCCTGAGACGATCACAGACCTCAGGGCGGTTGCTGTTCCTAGACAGGACCCTAGATGGAGCAACAAGACTAGTCGCAGAGATTAAGAAAAATGCCAAGACTTTGGTCAGTATATTCTCACTGGTTTGGACAGGGCCTCCATTAAGTTCTTCAACTTTGACAAACTCCAAAAAAATCTATCAGGGTTCCCCACCCCAAAGCCCAGCCCAGTTTATGGCCGGATTCTCAGACACACTAAAAGCCTACACTTGCTCTGATGCCTCCTCAGCCGAGAGACAACTTTTTCTCAAAACTTGTTTCATTGCCTAGGCAGCCTCCAACATCAAGACAAAGCACAAAAGCTTCAAGGATGATCCTCAACCCCCTAAGGACAATCTTCTAACCACTGCCTTTAGGAGCTACCAAAATTAAGAACTTGACAGGCCTCAGAGAGGTCTCCAGCTTCCACTAAATCTGTCCTCCAGCGTCTCACAACACTCCAGCCAGGCCAATTACATGAACAAAAGTCTAAAGCATTTGGGCCTTGCTTTTGATGGGGCAAAACGGGACTGGGTAAAGCAACACCCAATCCATGGCCTCCCACCAAACCCTGACCCCCATGCAGCTTAGAGGAACACTAGAAAATGGACTGCCCTCACTCCAAAGCAGAGAAGGAGCCATCCACTCCTGTAGCCTGCTCTACTGACCTAATGGGACCTGTTATCCTATCCAAAGATTGATGGGGTTCCCAACTCTTGCACCTCCAGCCCATCACCACACAAGAGCCCAGGGTAACTCTACTGGTTGGGGGTAAATCTATCTCATTTTTCTCACAAAAGGGCCCCTTATTCTGCTTTGGCAATTTTTTGGACCTACATTTAATTCTTCAATATCAGCAGTGGTAGTTGACAGCCAGTCTTCATTCCTATATGATGGCAGTCTTAAATTGTTCCATAAAACATCATATATTTTCTCATTCATTCCTGCTAATTCCTCATACCCCATTCCTCTCCTGGGATGAGACCTCCTCAAGCTTGGCAATAGACATCTTCCAAAATCCTCCTCTCTGTACACACTCTGCCCTTCTTCTTCCTCCTTCCTCTAACCCTTCACCTCCACCCTGATCCCAAGACCTTTTTGCCTTTATTTAGACTGACCTCACTTTGGGGCATGTCACTCAACTCAGCTGGACAGTCCTCTCTCAAGGCTTTAGCGACAATCTCCACTTATTCATTTAGGCTGTCAGCTGTGATCTCGACTGGACTTTACTTCTAAATAGTAAAGTGCTCCAATAAGTTGGTGATATCTTAATCTGCAGCCTCTCTCCCCAAGTCAGACAGCTTTGTCTTCTCTCTTTTCTTTCCTCTTACAGATAGCATGTCTCACCTTCCAAGATACAATTAGTCCAGACTACCATTCTATACCTTATCCCACCTCATAGGCCATCATGACCTATCACTAAGCTCTCATCCAATTAATTCCGCAAACAAAAACTTTCTGGGCTTAGCTTGCTTTCTCTGCGTCTGGGTTCCCAACTTCAGCCTCGTAGTCAGACCCTGTTATAATGCCTCCACAATATCCTTTCCCTCATGCTCTCCCTGGCTCAAGATATCATTCACAGCTACTTCAAACTATCTACCATGATCTCAGTATACATAATAACCCAATATACATAAAAACCCCATCACACAGGCAGTCAAGGCCTCTTTCATAGATAAAAGCTCTGTGCAAACTCCCAGTGCTCTCTTCCTTGAAGACTCTCTCTTCCTTGGTTCCAGAGAGGAGGCATTTTCCAGGGCCAAGGGGACAGGGCTGCCTACCTGGTGGGACCAGAGCACAGAGCACGGCACCAAAGAGGATTATTCTTAGAGTTAAAACCTAATTAAAAATTCCACAAATGCTGCTTAACTTAGCTGCATATGTTAATGTCTATAAATGTATGCTATATAAAGATTAAATATGGAAAAGTCAAGGTGTGCAGGCTAGTGCTGATTTTGATAATAGTAAATTAAATCTTTGGGTAAAAATTGAAAAGTGTAATGGAATTTTCCCTGCTAGGCTTTAACTTGCTCAGGACATTCATTGCTTTCTTCTTCCCAGTTTTTTTCCCTGGATGGGAATGTCTGTCCTAACCCTGCCCCATAATTATAATTTGAAAACAGGTAACTTTTTTTTTTTTTTTTGGTACCGGGGATTGAACTCATGTCCTTGAACTTGCAAGGCAGGCCACCGAACCGCTAAGCTAAATCCCTGGCCCCCAAAACAGGTAACTTTTGAATTCACAGGTTAACTGTTGGTATTTTTCCCAGAATGAATTTATTTGTAGTCTCACTTACACTTGATGTAGATGCTACTGATGTAAGATTTCATAATTAAAAGTGGATGCTGGAGTCAGTTAGGATAACTTGGGCTATTGGGATGGGCTGAATGTATTTTGCACCCAAGTGCATGAATTTTGGGGGGCAAATGGGTGGAAAGTTATGAGCTACATTATGACTCCCCTAATTCTTATGATGAAGTTCCAACCCTCCCGTCTCAGAAGTTAACAGTATTTGGAGATAGGTTGTGTAATGAAGTAACCTAATATGACTAATAAGAAGAGGGCACTATGACAGAGACATGCAAGGGAAACTCCATGTGAGGACACAGGGAAAGAGTGGCCATGCACACACCAAGGAGGGTGGCTCAGAAGGAATGGAAGTTGCCCACACCTTGATTTCAGACTTCTGACCTCCAGAATTGTGGGAAAATAAATTTTTATGGTTTAAATCAAAAGGAACAAGGAAAGTAATGCAGTACCAATACATGCCACAGCATCGACGAATCCCCCAAACATTAGGCTAAGTAAAAGAGACTAGAAACAAAAGACTATATCTTGAAAAATGCACTTACATGAAGTATACAGAAAGGGTACTGTGTGTGTGTGTGTGTATAGGTGTCGCCCGGACCTGTGAGTGACAATGGGGAGTGAGTACAAAGAGCCATGACTTTTCTTGTTGGGATAATCGAAATGTTATCAAATTAGATTTTGGTAAAAGTTCTACACTTTATAAAGTTACTGAAAATTCTTGAAGTGTAATCTTGAAATGGGTTAGTTTTATCATGTAAATTATGCCTCATTGTTTAAAAATTAGTAATTGAAAAGAACTGAGGTGATATTTGTAGGGCAAAACAGATTTTACTTTAATGTGTTCATAAGAAAAATTTGTCTGACTAATTTGTTCAATTAGTAAGTTTAATATTTTAATTAAATATTTAACTATCAAAACTTATTGAAATTTTATATAATTTTAATTATTTTTTAGAATCTCCTTTAAACATCGGGGATAATTCGATCTCTTTTAAAAAACTTTTATTAATTTTATTGGTACATTTAATGTATACAATATGACACTCAGTTGTTGGAAATTTGTACCTTTACATAATCAATCTTGGTTTTTATTTTTTCCCCATTCCCCTGCCCTCCTTCAACCCCTCCCTCCCTCCAAATCTACAGACTTTGTTTCCCTCATTTTTCATTTTCTCGTACTGACTCTGTTCCCTTCTTTCCTTTCCGCTACCCCTCCCGTTTCCCGTAACACCGTTTCATATGGTGACAGTGTATGCATGACTATCATGACTTTTTCTCTTACCTCAACTTAGAAAAGGTTTGGAAGCATAGCAGACTGATACAAAAAATAAACAAAATAAGAAGTAAAAAAGCCAAGATGTCAACATTGTCAAAGCCGCTTCAAGTCAGACTCCTGAACTGTAGAAGCCTTTGCGTGTCTGACGAACGGACAGCTTTCCCGTTGGCC